AACAAAGCGCCCAGGCAAAGACAGTCCCGAACTCAGATGCCCCTGAAGATTAATCGGCGGGAATTCAAGTGTATCGAGGGAGGTGAATTCAAATAATTTGCGGCCAACTGAACAAACAGACCAGACAAACCGCCGGCTAAGATAATGCAAGTGGGGCGAGGCAGTCCAGAAACTTTCTCCGAAAAAGTTTTACTCAAAAATTCCCCAAATAGTCGAGGTCAGGAAAACAGAAGGGGGGAGGGGGGCAATAAAACAAATCATAGCATACATCAAAGCGCAAACGAAGCGTGTGATGACACCGAGGGATCTCGGGATCGGATCAGATAGGATGGGGGTGGGAAAACAGAGGACGGAAAAACAGGACGACCGACAACAGCTGTCGGCTTGTTTGATGGCCAAAGTTTGGCAACAAGTTCAATTACTTTTCACCTGCCCCACAAAAAACAAACAGCTCGCAATTTGACTAAAACCTGACACGTGGTTTTTCCTGTGAATCCTTCGGCAGTTGTGGGCAAAGTTCTTTGTTACTTGGCTGCACACTTTTTAAGCGATTTGATCTGGTCCTTGTGCTTGGAACAAACAGTTTGGCTATCAAGTTTTACCTTAGGATTAGACTTGCGGTTTCTTTCCATTGATGTGAGAAAGTGTAATTTTATATTGAAAATTTTAAACATTTTTTAAATATACATAATACAATTTTAATTTGATACTAAATTGTCATAACAAAGTTTCTAAACATTGTTATAAAAATAATTATCCATCTTGTTGGTTTAAAAGTAATTTAAGTAAAAAATAATCATTTTAATTATTTAAATTAAATAAAAAGCGTAATAATTAATATAAAACATATGCATAATAAAATTTTAAAATATTTGAATCCAGTTAGAAAATATTAAACACAATGTTATTCATCTTTCTTTTAAATATTTTTTATAATTAAAAAAAAAATTACATATTCAAATCAAAGTTTAATATTTTTAAATGTAGTTTTTTTATTGTTCAATTTATTATTTTCATATTCAAAATTTTCAAAACCAAATCTGTACTAGTTTGTTTATCAATGAATTAAAAATTTGATCGCTAAAAAATTATTGATGATTTATTTTGTGGCTTAAATGTTTCCATAGGAGTCTACTAATAATGGCTGGTTAGGGTACCATTCCTTTATTTGCATCGTATCTTCATTTGAATTAATTAAGCTTTTCTCTGCTCATTTTTTCCTCAACGAGTAATCCGATGCTGTAATTTCCCCGCTAGCTGTGTGTAAACAGAATTTAGCATATTTATTAATGGTCCGACAGGTGGAAAGCTGCAACCTCGACTCCGTTTTCCACCTCCCTGTGAAAGGAATCGATTTGCGAGCGAAATCGGGAATAGCTGCCACAGCGAAAATAATCCACCGGTGTCAATTGAAAATTAAGCCCAGCTAAGTGAAATGTCGAACAGAAATAGAGCAAATTGCTCGGCGAAACGTTTTTGGTAAATTAAGGCCAGCAATCCAACAGCGATAACAAAATCGAAAGCACTCGTAGCCACCGTCGAGGAAATTGAATTGCATTCCGAATGCATTTGTCGCACTCGCAGATGCCGTAGTTCACCTGCAGCTTAGACCCGATGTAACAGAAAGTTTATGGATTTTCCGGGGATTTATGACGGCTTAAATGGGAAGGGGGTGAAACATACGCGGATATATTTTTACCAACTGGTTGGGATCGATTTTTTTCATTTCCCCTAGAAAGGTTAGTAGAAGTTGGAATGGAAAACTTTCACAGTTCAATATTAGAGTTTAAGCATTTTGTAGAATTTCATTGAACAGGAATAAAGCTTTTAGTTGTTTTCCATAATTCAACTAAAAATAAATTAATTGCACAAATAAAACAAAAAATATTAATACAATTTTAAGGGCTCATTATTTGGTACAGACGATTTTCCTATTTAATTTAATGACGCGTACTTAATGACTTCAAGAACTCGTTTACTCCTTTTTTCTGGGCCATTCTTAGTTGATCGTTTACCTTAAATATAGCTGCATAATGAGGTTCGACTTTATCGCCTCTGTAGACGTTTATGACCAGATGCAAAAGGCTCGCCGTTGGGTCGAAGAGCTAAAGCCAAGTCAACACAAACAAAATAGAGCAAAAAAAATGTTACTGGAGTTGTAGGATGCAAAACTTACACAGAGAGAAATGGATACTTGGTATTAAAACAGCAATAAATCATGTGGAATGGGTGCTATACTTTTGGGTTTTTTTTTCTTTTTAAACTAAATTGATCAAAGATAATTTTTAAATTTTTTTATACATAAATAAAAGTTACCTCTTTATATCTTCAAAAGAGACCAACTTTTTCTGTGCATTATGCAGGCGCAGGCCAAGTGAAAAGGCAAAGTGTTGTGCATAAAAATGTTGTTCTTCCTGCTGTAAGTTTGCGGCTCCCTGTTTATCCGGAGAAGTGAAGAGTGGAGGGGCAAGATGGAGGACGATGTGGCATCCGGATGCTGTCCGCTTTGCATATTAAAAACGCTGCTGGCGCACTTTTGCGGCTGGACTGCGGGGCTCCGCCGGGGTGGTTGCTGCTCCGATAATCCCCCAGTTATTCTATGTAAATTGGGTTTTCTTTGTCGATGCAACAATGAGCCAGAGGATCCTGAACCTGGTCGGAGGGCGTGGCCCTATGGGCGTTGGGGCGTTGGGGCTGCAGGTCTGAGGCGTAGATAAAACACCAGCTGAACAGCTGAATCCAATCAGCCAGGACTTGAGCCAGCCCGCAGGCAATCAAGTGGCAAACTGCTTCGGCGGGGGTTCATTAAATCGTTAATGTGGCTGAGGTTTTTCGCCTAGAGTTCCGCCGAGGAAGCCCCTTCAGACCAATTGAGCTGGCAGAAATTGAACTGTGCAAAGCCATAAAATTAAATAAATATATGAGTTAGTGTGAAAGGAAGTGGAATTGCAAATGCTCTCTAAAAAACCCAAATAATTAAAGTAAGTATCTACTAGTCAAACTTATTTAAAAGCCATTTACTCATTCAGTTTAAGAGCTATTAAATAATGAGGGGTTTTTAAGATTAGTTTATTCCAATATACTCAAAGCATATCTCAAAAATTACCACGAAAATCATCGATTTGCAGATAACAAACCACCGACATATGCACGTCTTTAGATGTACTGATCGATATCCTTTGGGGGCCCTGTGCATGCGGAGGATAATTGAATTTGAAGTGAAGCTGCTCCTTGTGGCAGTTATGAAATTTCTGGCCCGGCTTCCGCTGCCTGGGAACGGAAACAAAAGCGAGGCAAAACGAAGTTACAAGTTACAAGCGAGTGTGAGAGTGCGTCTGCCGTAATGGATGGATATGGTGTGCTGGAGGTCTGGAGGTGGAGCATAGGATCGCTGGAAGCGATGATGGGGAACCACTGGGGCAGACACCAGTGCTGCCAGCAGCAAACTTCAAACACAGAACTTTTTCTCCTTAAAATAAAACAAATTCGTATTTATTTCTAAAATGTCAACTAAATCCTTCTACTTACATGATTAGAGCTTATCTAATAAAAAAAAATATATTAAATAAAGTTCTATTAGATATTGATTTGACCTGTTTTTTGCGTAAATGTGAGGATTTTTGCTAACTCGAGGTCATAGTTGGTTATATAAATAACTCAAAAATTTAGCATTTCAACACACTCTGGGAAGTGAACCTCGGACTTTAATTTAATTATATCCTAAAAAAAATAAAATTGTTTTAAAATGCTAATACTTATGATGGAATTTGTTAAAATAAGAACAAAGTTTTATAGACAGAATTTAAATCTACTTATTTTCCTTTTTCTTCAAAAAATCAGAGATAATTTACTTTAAAATCCTGAACTTTCCCTTTAGAAAGGACAAAATGACAGCACTGGCACACATGTTCCCATGTCTTGCAACCTCGGCAATGAATTTGCGTTTCCGCCTCGCTACTTTCGCCATCATGGTTAACCGCATCGTTGATTTAAGGGCGTTTCTTGCGAGGGGGCCGCCGTATTCCGCATCCTTCGTCCTTTTGACGCGAGCGACACAATTAAAAATGTGCAGCCCAATTCATTTGATTGGCACGAAGGAAGAGTCGAGATAAGCATCTTCCGTTGGCTGCAACTGTGACATCTTCATCAATCAATAATGTATATATTTTTATGTGCTTGTGCTCCGGGGAATATGGCCAAGACGAAATTAATAATGCCATTAAATGGCAGAGGAAGTATTGTGAGTAAAAACCCGAAAACAAATGAATTTTAAAATGTCCCCTTCATTTTTTATTGCTGCTATAAGAAATGAAGCAACTTACACAAAAAAAATCAAGTGTGTTTTACAACAATTGAATAAAATGAAAAATACATCATTAATAACCATTTTTAACAAAAATGTTTAAAATTAGTCTGTATATTCATAAAATTAATAAATTAATATCCGATTAGAAGTAGACATTCTAATGAAATTATACACTTGTCTGATTTATTAGCTACAGTTTTTAATGTTAAGGGTTAAGGCCGTTATGATTGACTATTTGATTTTTTATAAGTCTACATCAAGTATTTCCAACTATGTGGCAGCTCCGGTCTACAACACTTTAGCCAAATCTGGCAGTACCGATAGTATCGAATAAACATTGCTCTTTGATTTGTTTTATGGCACATTAGGGGCTTTCCAAAAGATTTAAATGTTTTTTTAAATATGTTATTTGTTTATTTGGACAAGCTTGGTTGTTTTAAGAGATTTTTTTAACAGTTTTAAGCCACAGTTTTTGCACTGAGTTATCTTTATAAGCTCGGAGAATTTTTAATAGTCAGTTGTTAGATGATAAAAAACCTTAATTTTTGCCCACTTTGTTTTTTGCTTTATACTACTTTAATATTTAAGATTTTTCACCCTTAACATGTTTAAAATTAAACGCAATTTTGAATTTGGCCGGGAAGTTTTAATATTTTTAGGGCTGGTGGAGAGCATTTTGCGTGAACGCCGTATTCCCATCTGGCCACACTGAAGCACTTGCATAAAATAAAAATAAAGAACAATTGCATTTAGAATGGATTATGTGCACTCTGTTTGGAGCTACTTCGCCTCGATCTGCAACTGCTGGCAATGCACCGAGGACACGGGTGCCCAGGTAAGCCATGGATCCACTTTTTCCCGGGAACTAACCACTAGTACTGCGCGTTTTATCTGCAGCCCAACGAGCCGAACGAGAGGACACACCTTTTGGTGGACCCCGTGAACCATAGTCCTGCCCTTCGGAGGAGCAATTCCGATGGCCTCAGCAACGACTACGCCCACTCCCTTCCCAAGAAGGACGACCAGAATGCCCTCTCCAGATTGGTCCAGAATACTGCGATGTACGTAGCCCTTTTCCTTTGATCAGATTACATGCGTTGTAGCACTAGCATATGGGTTTCGATAGGGGTTCTATTATCTTCATTGTAATGCTCTATTTATACTAGGAACTAGGTCGGATTACTTTATTACCGAAGTATAGAGCTATCAATAGTTCTATTCACAGAAATTAAGGCACTTTAAATACGTGTATAGACCATCTATAGGGTTCCGTCTTGATAACAAAGCCAATACTTATTTGATCTTCATTCTTTTGTTCTTCAGAAACATGATAAACGTCGGGGCCATGGACTGCCATAGTTTGGAGCACCAGGAGTACGCCGACAGAATCAGATTGTATTCGCAGCGCTTGCATCAGCAGTGGAACAACGTTCAGCACCCCAGTATCTCTCTAAAAGGTTTGTCTTAATATTATTTAATTGTAATTATATTGACAAACATTATGTTCTCAAACTTCAGGTCTTCTAAAAGATGTTCCAAGCCATCAGTTCTATCTGTCTAAGCCCATTTCGCCTGAGGACACTGCTCAAGTAAGTGCAAGCATATCACAATCGATTGTATAGCTTAAGTTATTTACAAATTTACCCTTTCAGATGAAGCTCTTTACTGAGAAGGCACACATCAGTGTTTCGCACATACAAATCGACCACAAAGAGGCAGTGGTTGTGCCCTTCCGGATTCCCTGATTGTCTTATCATAAGTGAAATAAAGTGATAAATTTATATAAAATCAAAATCTATATTGGTACTAAGTAACCCTTGAATAATCAGGTAATCGACTTATTTTTATTAAGTGTACAGAAACAGAAATAAATACAATCTATATTCTTAACACGGCCAGAATTATTTTATTTAGCAAAAATGTCTTTCGACTTAAATCATAAATTTTGGGTGTCCACTCGGAAGGAAATAGGACAACTTATCAAGAAACAAAGCCGCTTAAAGAAGATAGATCCTCCGCAGGAAAAGGCCGTGTCCTTTAAAATCTTCGCAGAACTGTACGTTTTATATGTGGAGCTGGTCGCTAAGTTGAGCTTTATTTACCACAATACTTTCCAAGTGCAAAAGCGGGAATTGGTTCGCGTTTTGGTGGAGAGTGCGACTCAGCAGCTGATGCAACTCAAGGAGGAGCTCAAGGAGTTGGAAATGAGCGAATACATTTATATAGACAAAGCTTTGATCGCCAGGAAGCTAACGCCACGAGATTTGGTTATATGGCGATCGCCACAGTTTCTGTACCGCCGCCCTTTGGATATTCAAAATATTCTAACCGACAACCGATTGTACATGGACGATGAGGAAAAGGAGGAGAAGGCGGCAAAGGACTGGGTTCCTATCAGTGAGGCCGTGAAGCTGATCCAAGCTCATGAGAGGGCGCGTAGGGCTCGGGTGTATAAGTCCAGCATAAAGTACGACAAGAAGAAATTCCTCAAGGTGTATCAGAGAAGGAAAATCAATTATAAATTCACCTTTAAGCCAGATCAGCCAATGAGTATACCCGTCAAGAGAACCATCTTTTCGGCTGATTTCTTGAAAGCCGACGAATCTTGTGAAAACTTACTGAAAAAGGATGATGTCGCGGAAACAGCAGTGGATGGTAAATAGTTCACTTATCTAAATAACTAATTGTATAAAAATATAGCGAAAAGTATTTATGGATTTAAAAATTCCATTTTTTTAATTTAGAAGCTTTTACCTTTAAATCCTCTTTTAGATGAAGAAGCCCTTAATAAAATAAGGAATGATGCTGCTTGTAAAATCCAAAGCTTGTGGCGGGGTTACAGGACAAGGAAAATCTTTAAGATTAGAAAGAGGTTCAAGGAAGAATTGTATGGTATGAAGAAAATAAGAAAACTGAAGAGACCCAACCAGAATAAAAACGCAATAATGGAAATGTACAAAAACGAGATGCTGAAAAGAAAGCTGGACGACGATTTCATTAACTTGATCAATGATGAACGCACAAGGCTTCTGCAAGTCCGAAGTCCGTGGATGATGGAAGATATATCCGATCATATTCGAGCGTGGTTCAAAGAATTGTAAGGTAACTTAATTCGAAGACGTACGACTAACATTAATTTTTTACAGTTACGAAAAGACTGGAAATTTTCATCCATATCCTGATCCTGTTAAAAAGGGAACAGTATTAGTTGTCATTGATGAGACAATGACTCCAATGGAATTTCAGCAAACCCTGGGTAAAAAACCATTGACGAAAGCCGAGAAAAAGAAAATTCGAGACAAAGAGAAGAAAGATAAAAGGAAGAAGAGGGAAAAGGAGAAATTATTAAAAATGAAGGAAGCGAAACGCAGAAAGAAACTAAGAGATGCTGGAATCATTGATATTGGCTATGAGTTAACCGCAAGCAAGGCCATAGGTAGGTTATTTGATTAAATAAATAAATAAATAATAATCATAAAACTTTAAGAAAATATCGAGGAAACTATGAAAAGGTATGCTAAGGACTGGAGGAATGTCGATGAATATCTTAACAAAAATCATGACCCAATCAAAGATTGGGTTACAGAGGCAGAGCTGGCAAAGATACACCAGGAAGTGAGGGGATTGGTCGACGAATACATGAGGTATATAATAATATGTAACTTATTATATTGACCAATAAACAAATGGTTTATATTTTAGGGTCGAATATGAATTGCTTCGGGAGGCCTTGGCCAAGGATAACAATGAAAAGTACAAGGCCCTCAAAGTAAAGTATCCGAAAAAGAAGAAGAATAAGAAGAAGAGAAAGCCAAAGGATATGACAGGAGATAGAACCCTCGAGTCCTTGTACCACGAGTTAAAAGATGGCGGAATAATCGAAGAAGTAGCTCACAAAGACTTTGATGAATTTATTGCGGACTTTAACTTTGTGGCAGACGACACTCGAAATGAAGACGACTTGATGTATGTATTTATTAATTACAAAACGGAATTTAAAAGTAATTGTGTTTACTCTTACTCAGTACATTGGGTCCAGCAAAAGGTGACATTAAAATGGTTATCCAAGAGTCGATGCTAGGAATGGGAGAATTCGATATTCCGAAACCCAAGTCTCTTTTATTAATTGGTCCCCTGAATAGCGGAAAAAAATTACTGTGCCAAATCATTGCATCTGAATTAGGTAAATTAATGCTGCATTTCTAAGTGTATTTGATCAGTTTAAAAGAAAATTTATAATCCAGATGCAGTTTTTATGAATCTGAGTCCCGAGAAGACATACAAGTATGCCGATGACCTAAAGTACTTCATACATGTTATTTTAAAAGTGGCAAAGGCGTTTCAGCCTACCATTATGTATATCGAGGAAGCTCATCGATTATTTTGGAAAAAAATTCCGCCTGAGGCAGTTGAGATAAAACCCAGACTTCTTGGTACCTCCATAGCCATTAAAATTTTAAAGCCCCTGAAGAAAAATGACAAAATTGTAGTTGTCGGCACGAGCAACATGCCCTGGGCTGCCAAGGGGGGTATCAAAAGAGCGTTTCAAAAAGTCCTGCTAATACCAAAGTGCGATTATGGCACTAGCTTCCTACTTTGGCTGGAACTGATGACCGAAAACGCTCCCGATGACATGAAGGAGTACGCCTATTCGGCACTGGCAAGGGTCTTACAAGCCTATAACTCCGGGGACATCGACGCCAATGTAAAGCAGACTTTAAATATCGACCGAAAAATGCGTCTCATGAATGAGGCATTGGATCCCAACGAGTTTTTAGAATATTTCCTTAGCAAGAATGAGCCTCCTATTTTCCCGCCAGAGGAGAAGGTATTTAAGTATACATATAAGACATGTTTTAACAATATTAATATGCTCTTTTCTCAGCTTATGGAAAAGTTTAACAAATGGTTCGGCAACTCTAACAAACTGCAAAAAATGAGAAAAGTGTTTGATGCTCAAAAGTTGGCAAAAGACAAAAAAAAGAAATAGGTAGACACTTACCTTGAAAAAAAATTATCGTATTAAATTTTGAGAAAGTACCTAAACACTGGACTATATTTATGTATTTTTTATTGAAAATATATAACCAAAGTTTTTCCTATGGAAAATAGTATCTAACGAAATCAAATAATTTGTGTAAAATGTAGTTCTTATATATTTAGCATGTCATTTAATTGTTTGTTTGTTGTTGTTGTGGTAAAAACTCCTCCAACTCAGAATCTTCAATTTCACACAGTCGAACCGAAATATTGCTGTTGGAGCCAATTTCTCCGACAGCGCATGGAAATAGGTATGCCTCCTCTGAATTTTCTGCCAAAAAAATGTTGATTTACGTATTTGTAAAATGCGAAAATCTATTTCCTGTGCTTACCACTTATCGTCCTTCTGGTTTTCATTTCCTTCCTTGAAATCGGCCCCTCGGTCATGGAGCTTTCTCCGTCCGTCTCACTTGGAAAATGCATCGTGGGTAAATACGAATCAGGATGTCTTAAATATACTTTGCCTGTGGATTAAATCAAATGAGTTTCGTTAATCATTTTCTTATTAAATAAAGTTTTAAATTAATTATATTTATTATATTGTAAACTATAAACGAAGGAGCATTTTTAAAATAGTCCTATAGAAATATATTGTTTAATAAAAAAAGCGCTGGTTAATGTTTAAGTAATGAAGAACTCAAAATGTATCTTATCTTCAGAACATGTAAAAATTCGTCACTGAATCAAAAACTTACACGAATGACTAACTTTCGACGGTAAAGGCACTGATTGCGTGAAATAAAATAGTTAAATAGATTAGTATACATAGATATTAATATAGTGTTAGAAAGTTTAAAGCTGTTAAATAGATCTATGAAATAAATTATTAAATTAAAAAGAATTTTGTAACACCCAATAAGTAAAATCTGATCACTTTAAATTGAGAGTAATTACATAAACAAAAACAATTGTTTGGTAACATTTTTAAAGACAGAAATGGGCTTAAAAAATATACATATCCCTTAGAATAAATTTCTTTACCTGTATTTGATTTATAGTCTTCATTCTCGATATTATTAAAAGAACTCAGTCTTGAAAGTGGCTGATTACTTGATCTCGGCAACATAAACGGCTCCAAACAGCTCTCCGCCTCCGAATCCAAATACTCCGATCCGATATCCTCATTGAGTGCAGCTATATCCCTTGTGGGATCAACATCTCCGTCTTCTCCTATTGATTGTAGTTTAAATTATATTGAAATAAAATTCACAATGAGACACACTTACGGTGGACGAAGAACGCCTTCTTCGACTTGGACTCGTTGCTATCGTTGCTATGCAAGCTCGATGAGTCGGCTATTTCTGCTCCAGGAACTTCGGTTATATCTGGCAAGGGATTATGGCTTTTGCGAACCCAGTCGGAACAGTCCCAATGATATTGACCGTTGGCAAGAGCTGAATAATCAACAAAGTTCGCACTGGAAGAGTGGCACACATTTGGCATTTCAACTTGGATTAGCTTCCCGGTTGAAAAGCGACTCACAGACGGTCCGAAATCACGTTTAAGTTCTGAAAGGCAAATTTTTAATTTTTTTTTCAACAATTAAATAAATAAACCCTATACCATTGTTCAGTTTGTTCTCGCTGAATGTTCTTAAATGCATTTGCTCGCACCACTCTTGTTTGTAGGCATTATCGGCATCGGCGGCATGGCAGGAGTTGATGTTCACGTGCTGTTTATTTCGATTCACCTTCTGGTACTCGAATGGCACATTCTCCAGTTCATCGCCAGCCGAACCGTAGCTCCGTAAAATGTCCAAATTATTTACGAAATTCCGATTGCTCAGGAACAGGTTATCATTTGGGGCGGCAGTGTAGCTAATGGGTCGCTGGTTCACCTCCAAGTTGCTCAACTTTACGTTCGGCTTGCAGTAATTGTCCTTGTCGACCAGCGAGTTCAGGTTCGCCTCCTTGTACGACGGCTTGTTCTTGTCCTTTTCCAGTCGGTTCCTTCGCTTCGAGGAGGTATTCCTTCGAATTACCACGCAGCACAGAACGCAACTGATGATCACCAGCACCACGGCTACGCCCGATATGATTCCGCTTATGTGCTCTAGGGAAAAGTTCTTCAGCTTTGTGGAAATCGAATTCGAGTACAGGGGATCTCCGCAGCTGGCTCCCGTGAGATACGAGGGACAGATGCACCTGAAGCTGCCGGGTTCGTTGATGCAGGTCGCTCCATTGCCGCACGGCTGGTTCTCGCACTCGTCCACATCGATCTCGCAAGTGGGTCCTGTGTAGCCGCGGCACATGCAGTGCGATATTCCGTCGCCCTCCTCGCAAATGCCTCCGTTCTTGCACGGATTCGGAGTGCAGAACTTGCCGTACTCACACCTCCGACCGGACAAGTGGATGGGGCACGTGCAGCTGTAGTTGTTGGGCCCGTGATAGTCGCACCTTCCGCCGAACAGGCAGGGTCCCGACGAGCAGGGATCCAGATCGATTTCGCAGTGTTTGCCCGAGTATCGCGGCTGGCAGGCGCATTCAAAGACATCCGAGTCGAGTTCCTTGCAGATTCCACTATTGGCACACGGCTGCGAACCGCAGATACCCAGACGCACCAGCACATTCGACGGATCGCACTTGAACTCGACGTTCGTGAACCTTTTCAGGGCCGCAATGGTACTGCCGCCGGAAATGTACAATGGCAGCGACTCCTTGGCTATTTTTATGTTGGCCATGCAGCCAATGAACCCGCGCTGAATGTCCTCGTAGCCGATTATCGACGGATGGGGACGCACTTCGGCGCCCACAAAGATGTCATTCGACTGGATGTTCAATATCCCATTGACACCGGGCGCACTGCCATGCGAAACGTGTTTGTTGTCCACCATCACCTTGGCACTGTTGAGGGATCGCTCCAGGCTGATGAGATGCCACTCGCCGTCGGAGATGTTGATGCTCGACACACTGATGACGCCCTCGCCCGAACCCAAATCGAATCTATACTGAACAGCTCCGTTTATGATCTCCAGGATATTGTAGTCCACCTTGCCACTGGCATACAGCAGGGTGCCAGTTTGCTGCACTGTTCTTATCTGCAGGGAGTAGGAAAATTCGTTTTCCAGCGTAAACTTGGCCTTGATTTTGTTGATCTTATAGTGGGCATAGCTCTTTCCGCCGAATGAAACTGCAGTAAATAACCCCATATCACAGGATTCATTGGTGCACTTCGAGGACTTCCGTTCGCAGTAGGTTCCCGAAAATCCCTTGGGGCAGACACATTGGTAGCCCAAAACCGATCCGGATGGCATGCAGATCCTCTGCGGGGAACACGGTTCCGTGGAGCAGGCATTCACCGTCTCATTGCAGTTCTTTCCATCGAAGCCTGGCCTGCAGACACACCTGTTCACCTGGTTAAACGAAGGAGCCGCAAAGCTTATCACATCCGTGAACGTGGTGGTCACGTTGTTCTTCAGGATCCTTAAAACCTGTTTGCATTCCCCGTGAACACAGGCATTTTCGTTGCTCTGACAGGCTGACGGCAGTACATCCTCCACAACCAAGTTGGTTTCGTTTTCGATCTCGTTCTTTTTGTCAATCAGCGTTTGTCGAATTTCGTCACTGGTGAAGAACTCATCGGAATCGGGTATTATTTGTTGCTTTCGCACTGCAAAGACTACGTTTAAATTAGACTCCAATGATCTTGCATGTCGAGTGGCTACTGAATGCTTTGGTTCCTCCGCTTGAAGGGTGATTAGAATTACATCCTTTTGGCGACATCGCATGATATTGCGAATGGAGCGCATGAAGGTCTTCCTGTGACTGAGCAGAAATTCAGAGGCCGTAATCCTGCTAAACTGAATAACAACCGATTCTTTGAGCATGTCATTGGTTACCAGCTCAACATTGATCTTGACAATCGAGAAGACGTGGAATTTTCCATCCGAAACCGAGACATTAAGCTTATATAGACCAATGTCAAGGTTGGATATCGCGTAGATCTTGCCAGTTTTGTTGGAAACGTTGAACAGCTTCGAGCTCTGATACATGTCTTCGGGTCCAGACACCAAACCGAAGGTCAGTTCATCGTACTTGTCCTGATCGGAGGCATGAACCTTTCCAATAAATGCTCCCGAGAAATCGTCCTCGAATGAATTGATTGTAACCTCCAGGGGAGTGACAATTGGCGGGTATTGACTTTCCTCAATTATTTTCACAATAACCCAGGCATCGGAGTATAATGGCGGTGTGCCATTGTCGAACACTCGAACCTGAATCACGAACTCATCCTGAAGGTTGTGATTAAATCGCGCGGCAGTGCTCAGAGAACCATCCTGCTCCAGCCGGAAGAGTCCGCCCTCGTTTCCAGACCTAATATCGAATGTATATGGCGTGGTGTTGGGCGATTCGTCTGCGTCTGATATTTTAAAGGTCAGGAATACATAGCCCAGAGGTCGGTTTTCCTGTAGAACAATGCTATAATTGGCGCTGGAAAAGATGGGCGCATTGTCGTTTGTGTCCAATATATTTATATTTATTGGAACACTGTTGCAACGCTGGGGAACTCCCTGATCGCAGGCTTGAATTTCCAGGTTATAGTGCGAAATAGTCTCACGATCCAAGGGCCTCGATACGCAGATCGTTCCGTTTTTCTGATCTATTGAGAACTGGCCTATGTTGTCACCCCTTTCAATGTTGTAAGTTACCAGCCCATTTATATCAGAGTCCTCATCTGTGGCCTTGACATCGAGAATCCTGGAGCCCACGAAAATATCCTCATTAACATTTATGCGGTACAAGTTTTGCAAAAACTTGGGGCTGTTGTCATTAATGTCCAAAATAGATACGTTCACATAGGCGTTGTTGCTGAGTGGCGGAGTGCCTCCGTCGATGGCTTGAATAGTCAGGAAGTAAAACTTGGACATTTCATAATCCAAGGTGGCATTCAACACCAAGTCGCCAGTCATGGAATCCATTTTGAATTTTCCCTGTTCGTTGCCACTCATTATGAAGTAGTGAATATCCGCATTTACGCCAATATCAATCGAAGCGGCATAGACCTTACAGACTTCGGTGCCGTAAGTGGCGTTTTCTAGAATTTTGCAGGAATATTGTCGCATACTAAATTCCGGCGGATTGTCATTGATGTCCAATATGTTTACTGCCACTGTGGCAATGGAATGCAATTTTGGAGCCCCGTAATCCTCCGCTTTGACCGTTAGGTTAAATAGCGAAATGGTTTCACGGTCGAGATTTTTCTCCAGTCTTATAATACCAGTCGACTTAGAGATTTTAAAATAGTCATGGTTTTCGCCCATTAAGGAGTACTTGATTTGCCTGTTGACCCCAAAATCTTTATCCATTGCATGTACTTTCGTGATCAAAGTATTTAATTGGGCATCCTCGGGTACGCTCACTCTGTATTGAGCCATTGAGAATACGGGAATATTGTCATTTATGTCGTTGACTGTGATGATGATTTCGGAGAAGCATTCTTGGGTAAAGTCCTTGCCATCCTGAACATGTGCCACCAACTTGTACTTTGGAGTGGTTTCCCGATCCAGTGCGTTCGCCACCTTCAAGATCCCACTCTCCTTTCCAATTGCAAAGTCGTCGGCACCTTTGCCAGATAGATAGAAGCGAAGTTTGCTTTGTAAATCGAAATCCACAGCCCTGACTTCGACTAGTGTGGTTCCAATAGAGATCGATTCGTTAGTAGAGATATGATAGCGGGGTTTTAGGCAGTAAGGCGTATTGTCGTTTATGTCTTTTACGTCTATTTCAACGTTGGCTTTGGCAGTGAATTTTCCATCGGTTGCAATTATGCTTAGGTTGTAGAACATGATTTGTTCGCGATCCAATGGCTTGGCGATAAACAGCTCTCCGCTTTTACCGACCTGGAACTGGGCTTGTTTGTCTCCCGAGACGATGAAGAAGTCCATTTCCTGTTTTTCGATGTCCGGATCAATTAGCAGTAAGTTGATTAAAACAGTACCAGGCAGTGCATTCTCGAACACGGAAATTCTTTCGATAGGTAACTTAAATGCTGGTGCGTTATCATTATAGTCTACAATTTTAATAGTTACAGGTACTTTTGCATCATGTTTTGGGTGGCCATTGTCGGCAGCAATTACTTTGAAATTATATTCAGATTGAACTTCTCTATCCAACGAGGTTAGCAAGGTGATCCAGCCGGAGTAAATGTCAATGTCAAAGATGTTTTGGATGTTTTCGGTATCACTCTCTAGATAGTATCGAATATCTCCATTTGGCCCTGTGTCAGCGTCGGTGGCTGAAACCTTTACCAACGAGATGACCTTTTCGCTGTTCTCCGCAACACTGGCACTGTAGAAGGTATTGTCGAACTTGGGATAGTTATCGTTTTCGTCCCTCACTTCAATTACAACATCAGCATAGGCGAAAAGAACCGGTACCGTAGAAGTTTCCGCCACAACAATCAGATTGTGCGACTCCTGCTGCTCCCTGTCCAACGTTTGCTGAAGGATCAGTTCGCCACTGTCGGATATCATGAAATGGTCCTGATCTGCTGCTATTGAGAACTTGAACGTAAAGTTTCCAATCATGTGCAGCTTTGTAAGCACGGTTCCCGGTGATGTTGACTCAATGATCTTGAGTAGTATTGAAGGTTTTTCAAAAACGGGAATGCTTGCATCTGTTTCAATGATTTTGATCGAAACTGGAACTTCCGAATGGAATTTAGGTTCGCCGCGATCAGAAGCACGTACAAAAAATTGATAGGAGCCCACGCCATAGGTTCCGGCATCTTGTTTGAGTACAATATCTCCAGTGATCTCGTTAATATCAATCACATCCTTTGATGCCTTCTCGTTAGACTTTTCAACAATTTGATAGTACACGGATCCGTTCTCATTAATATCGTCATCCTTGGCTTTGACCTACAAAACGTAAAGTTTATATTTGTTATTTTTAGTCTAAAGTTTTTAAGTGATAAACCTTAAATTTAAGCCCTTACCGTTAAAATAGTTATGTTCGCTTCTGTTGTTGAGCTTACAACAATCTTGTATTCTTTCAACAGGAAGTAAGGAACATTATCGTTCACGTCAACTACCAAAACTTTAAGGGATGCGAATCCGAATTTACCGCCACCATCGGACACCTTCAACAGCACCACGTACTCATCCTTTTTTTCGCGGTCAAAGGTTACTTTAGAGGTTATAACACCCGTCGATCGGTCGACGAGAAAGTACTTTTTCATTTCCTCGGAAACTATTTCATAATAAAGACTCGAGTATGTGCCAAAATCTCCATCCGTTGCTTTTACCTAGAATTACAAAGTCCTTTTAGCCAAGGCCTTTAGTTTTATACTTAAACATACCGTAATTATATTATGACCATGCAGCAAATTTTCTGGAATTTTAGCTTCATAGTTACTTTTATCGAACTGTGGACTGTAAACGTTTTCTGGGAGTAAGGATATTTTCAAACGGGCATATGCAGTATGCACTCCATCAGAAACAGAAATATTCAAAACTGTGCTACTTTTATCAGTGAAATTTAACATGTTTTGAAGGGATATCACTCCTGTTAGTTTATCAATGTTATAGGTTTGCAATTCATTTCCGTAAACAATTTTATACTCCAGCAAATCTGTATCAGAAATATCCTTATCGTAGGCCTTTGGTAGAGCAACGAACTGTCCACGAACAGCAGCGACTGACAATTTTGTGAAGTAGGAAGGCTCAACAAAGCATGGAGGGTTATCATTCAAGTCTTTAACTGAATAATAAAATTTAAGTACAGAGATAAATAAATTATTTGATTAGTGAAAGAAAAATCTTAAAAAAATATTACCTGTTATAAATACATTCGATCGGGAACTCAAAGATGGCGATCCATGGTCCTTTACATTAACAACAATATGATGGTATTTAATCTGCTCATAGTCTAAAGGGGTTTTTAAATACAGATTTCCATCTGTGACATCTATGTAAAAGAGTTCCGAATTGTTTTGCCCGTTTATGGACTCAATGTAATAGGACAGTTTGGCATTCGCCCCAGAGTCTTTATCAGTTGCATTAATCTTTAAAATTTGTGTGCCAAAAGAAGAATTTTCCGGAATGGTTATGTTGTAGATATCACTTTCAATCTCTGGATAGCAGTCATTGACATCGATAATGGAAACGGACAGAACGACTTCTGCATAAACTCCAGATAAACTATCTGTTGCTCGAATGGAAACATCATGGGAACTCATTTGCTCGTAGTCCAGTTCATTTACAACAAAAATTGATCCTGTAAAATGAATATTGTAAATTATTTTTATTCCATTGGGATAAACAAATAAAAATGAAAGCACCTGTGTTGTAATCAATTTCAAACGATTGACTGTCTGAAGATATTGTGTAAATTAAACTCCTGCCCAAGGGACTTTCGGCTTCAATGGATACCGAAAGAGCCGAGTACATTTCCACGTCTTCTTTGACGCTTACAGTGTAAAACTGTTTTTCGAAAACGGGCATCGAACGATCAATCACCTGAAAATAAGACATGCAACTTGTTATTAAACAGCTATTAATTAATTGCTATGAAAACCCACCTTAACTTGAAGAGGAGCCTCGGAAGAACAAGGAGTTATGGCGCCATCATAGGCAGCAACTGTTAGCTCATAGTGTCGGTTATGTCCTTCCACATGCTGCTTTATGGATAACTCTCCAGTTTTGCGGTCCAATTTAAACAACTCACCATTTCCCTTTTTTAGCTCGTACCGAACTTCACCATTTTCTCCACTATCCAAGTCAACGGCCTTTACTTGCATTATAATCGTTCCCCTGGGATCGTCAATTGAGACCGTCGCATAATAGGGCATATTGACAAACAAAGGGCAGTTATCGTTCACATCCAAGACAGATATATATACAGACGTAACTGCCCTGCGCACATTCGAATTCATTCCGTCGAATAATACTGACTTTGCTTCCACAAACAATCTGTACAAATCCTGTACCTCGCGATCGAAAATGACTCCTGTGGTTTTTAGGGCTCCCGAACTGATACCAATATCGAACAATTTGGTTGGATTTAAGATGCGATACTCAACATTTTCGTTCAGCGAGTTTCCAACCACATTTACCAGTCCAACGGTAGCAACCTTTGTGTTATTTTCAATTGCAGAAAATCTGTACGATTCCCGTTGGAATGCAAAATTTGAGTCGGTGGCTGACAGAACCTTAATCTTTACTATCAAAATTGCAGAGAATATTCCGTCGGAGGCACGGATGTGCAAGGTGTAGTCTTGGTCATTTTCATTATTTAATATTTCGAAATTCCTGTAAAAATATAACATGATTTATAATGGATTGTTTTGCAGGGTAATATAGAGGCTAACTTTACCTTGTTGTTATAATGCCGGAGTATTTATCAATTTGGAAACACTCGTTCGTGTTTCCATCCACAATGTCAAACCTTAGAGTATCGTTATCAGCATCCTTGGCATTAATTTGTGCAACAAACACGTTCTCAAAAGTGGGAAGGAACAATGTTACATTGAGTTCTCGTTCGTTAAATACTGGAGGACAATCGTTAACATTAATCACACGAATTGTCACGTGTGCTGTTGTAGTGGAATGTAGTTTGGGTTTTCCCATATCACTAACCTAGAGCCATAAAATAAATAATTAAATAACAAAATATTCAATTTCTTATATGTAATTCCTATTTACCGTAACGTCGAAAGTATAGCCAGCGTTTGTTTCATAGTCCAAGTGTCGTAACAGTTCAATAGCTCCAGTTGTCGAATCTATTTTAAAAACATTCTTAGCCAGATCATCGTTTATGTGGTATTCAACCATTCCGTTGACCCCAACATCAGCATCCTTTACTTGTAAAGTTAAATGACTAAAGCACAAAGTGACATAATATTATTAACATTATTTAAGTGCAAATACAGATACATACTCTTTGGATGAATCGTGTACTTCCAGTACGTACGATCCAATTGCAGCTGATTCAGATAATGCTCCAACATATTCATTTTGAACGAAATACGGAATATTATCGTTAGCATCTAGGATATGTATAATTATATTCTGGCAGGATGACTCGGCTGCCATATTGGTTCCTTTAACCGTAAGATTGAATACCCTAGAGAGAGGAATACAAATATTTTTTAGTACTTACATTTTACTAAATATTGTAACTTGTATAGCTCACTTGATTATTTCGTAATCGATATTTCCATTTATAACAATAACTCCAGTGGAGGGGTTTATGCGAAAGCTTTCGTTTAAGTTTCCGGAAATAATATTGAAGAATATAGATGACGAAGAACGCGCGGTGACTTGAGTGACAAACGTTCCAATGCCCAGGTTTTCGAATATTTCGATGGCAATGTTGTTCGTTGAGAACTTTGGTGGATCGTTTTCCGACATGGTAACAATGATGTGTACCGGAATCTGCGAGGACAGCGGAGGGTTGCCCAGGTCAACTGCCTTCACTTGAAGCATGTACTCTTGGATCTTGTTGATATTCAAGCTGCCAGCCAAAGTGATAATACCAAAAGTCGGGTCGATCTCAAACACACTACCCACGTTGCCCGTGATGATCGAGTACTGAATCTCGGCATTATGACCACTGTCTCGATCTATGGCCCGCACTTCGGCCAACTTAGAGCCAATAGCTGCGCTTTCGGGTACCTTACTTTGAATAATTTTCGCTGTAAATTCCGGATGATGGTCATTGTGGTCGTGCACATTTACAATGATCTTGGCATAGTTCCTTTTTCCAGGCGCTCCTTGATCCTTAACAAAAACTATTAGTATATGCTGCGCCGTCTTTTCGAAATCCAATCTCTGGGTTACAATAACATTTCCACTAATAGAATCGATTCGAAACAAAGCCAGGGACGACGGATCCTGAGTAGCGTGTAGATGATAGAATAGCTTCTTGTCCTCATCTCTGTCAGTGGCATGAAGTTGCATTATAACGGATTCCTCTTCAATATTCTCGGATATATTGACATGATAGACATCTTTGGGGAATTGCGGAGGGTTATCATTAATATCGATCACTTGAACCAAGAGATTGGTAAACGAGGTAAATGTGCCATCAGTTACGCTTATGGTCAGATTATGCGACTTTTTAATTTCGTAGTCCAAGTACTTTGAAAGCAAAATGTTTCCATTATCCTGGCCAATATAAAAGGTGTTTTCTTCATTGCCATCTAGAGAAATAAGTAGAATATGTTAAAAAATATGCAAAAATTTTCTTTTTTTATCAACTTACTGGAAATATTGTACCACAGCTGGTCGTTGTCATCATCGACGGCCAAAATTTGAGTGACCAAAAATCCTGGCTTGTCGTTCTCCGTCAGATCAACGACATTATCCGATGTCTTTTTCACTATCAACGGTGCACTGTGCGAATTGGGGTTAACAGGAACTACAACTATATTAACTCTAGCAGTTTGACTTTTCTTAGGAATCCCGTTGTCCTCAGCCTTGATGTGAATTTCAAATTCATTATCGGATTCCAACGGTTTTGCTATAAGTATGTGGCCCCTTTGACTATCAATGCGAAATTTGTTTTTACCCTTTCCGGACTTGATTGAATAGGTAATTCGACCATTTTCCCCACTGTCGCTGTCGATTGCATGAACCTGTAGGGTAATAAAAATAAAAAATAGTAGTTTATTTGAAAAAATATTATTTGTATTTGTAGTTTATGTATTTGAAAAATTTAACTTACCTGAAAAATAGATTGATTGACTGTGGCTGAAGACGGAACTTGCACTTTGTAAACCCGTTGGTCAAACTCTGGGCTATTATCGTTAATATCTAGGACCGACACGACAATTCGTGAAGTAGACGATAGCACTGGCGATCCATTATCTGATATAGCCACCTGAAAAAATCAGCTCGAGTTAATAAATAATATTTATTATTATTTATTTCATATTCCATTACCTCCAAAATATGTTCTGCTTGATTTTCTCTATCCAGTTTGCGTTCAGTGGTTGTGATTACTCCTTAGAATGCATAAATTATATTTAAAAGAAATGAAACTTTGAATTTATAAATGTAATACCTGTTTTTGAATCAATTTCAAAGTAGCCGACCAGATTTCCGGAAACGATATTATACGTAATAGACTGTGTGGGATCTATATCCGGATCTACTGCATTCAGGGTAATGATCTCAACGTTTTCAGCACTTGCTTCCGTAACATTAACATAGTACACCGGCTTGTCCGTCAGGGGAATGTTATCATTTTCGTTTTCGACTTCGATGTAAACCTAATAATTGAATGCATTTATTAATAATTTTTAAAAGGGGTTAGAATAAATATCTACTTACTTCCACACAGTTGCTGAGCGGAACTATGGCACAATCTTGAGCGCACAGGGTGAGCCAGTAAAAGTTTTTCGTCTCGGCGTCGAGTTGCGACAAGGAAGTTATTGAACCTGCGATACACATTGACATTAATCCATTCAAAGCTGGTCGGCCAAAGCCAATACAAACCTTGGTCGTTGACCGAAAAAATTCCAAGCCCATCGCCACCTGTGATGGAGTACGTGATTTTTGAGTTCAGGTCAACCGTGTCCATATCCCGGGCAGTGACATTCATAACAAACGTCCCCTTGGGCTTGTTCTCCCTTATTTTCCCCTCGTACACAAAGTCTTCGAACTCGGGAGCAAATCGGTTCTCGTTGACATCAATGATCATTATTACAATGGGCATATCCGATGTTAGCGAGGGATCTCCGCCATCGATGGCGCTGACAATAAGGTTATGCACTTGCTTGTTCTCGTAGTCCAGATAACCTTGCGTGCGTATTGCGCCAGTGTGCTTGTCGATCTTGAACAGCTCCTCATCCTGGGTCTCCTCCTTGAGGGAGAAAAGGATCTCTGCATTGGGGCCAATATCTTCGTCCACCGCTTCGATAACGGCCAAAACTGTTCCACGTGGCAGATCTTCGCGCACTTTAAATATGTACTCCTGAACTCCGAAAACCGGGGCATTGTCGTTGACATCGTCGACGAGTACGTAGACCAGAGCCTCCGAGGATAGCACAGGATTACCGCCATCCTTTGCCGATATGTGAAGAGCATAGTTATCCTGTTTCTCGCGATCCAGCGGTTTGTTTAGCCGAATGCAGCCCGTAGTCTCGTTAACCGTAAAGTCACTGCACTCAACCGATAAGGCGTAGGTAACCTGAGCATTGATTCCCGAATCCGCATCCGTGGCATGAACGCAGTGCACCACAGTTCCTATCCGGGCACTTTCGGTCAGTCGGAATGTGGCCAATGTCTTCTGGATAACAGGTCGATTGTCGTTCACATCGAGGATTGTTATGGGCAGCATTTTCGAAGTCGATTTGGTTGGGTTACCCAGATCGTAGACCGTAATATTCAAGACATACTCGCTTTGGCGTTCCCTATCCAAATACCCAATTATCTGCAGTTCGCCGCGGTCGGGATCAATTCGAAAAACCGAATCGTAGTCGCCGTCGGAAATGGCGAACACCAACTTTCCATTGTAGCCCAAATCCCTATCCTTGGCCTCTATCCACGCAACTGTTTCGCCCAATTGGACGCTCTCATTGATGAACAGCTCCTGTGGGAAGTTCAGGAACTCGGGTCTATGCACATTCTGGCCATATCGACTGGGCGTCAGGGATAAATCACTAAAAACGGATGGCGACACACTCTTTACGTTGTTCTTTTCGGCCAACGCCAATGTTTCCGCCAACCTCCTGGCGACTCCGGTTTCGCGGCACTCAAAAGATCCATAACCGTGCAGAATACCGGCATCTCCACCCAAGTCCTCGGGCATTAGATGTACATTGATGATCAAATCGTCCGAGAAATGGGTACCATCCGTGGCAGAAACCTTGAGAATTCGAGTTGTTAGAGAGGCCTTCTTCAGATCACAGGAAATAGACAGGGAACCGGATGTGGGGTCCAGGTTAAAGCAACCGTCCTCGTTGCCATCGCTCAACCGATACGAAATAATGTCGCCAGCATCGAAATCAATGGCTGAGGTAACGAAAACTTCAGTGCCCATCGGTGCGGATTTGGTCACCTTACCATAGCAGTTAACCCGTTCAAATTGCGGTCTGTTATCGTTAATATCCTTGACATCGATGGACAGTTTAATCTCTGTCTGCCTTCGGTACGGCAGTCCCCAATCCGAGGCACGTATTATGAGCTCATAGTTCCGCTTCATTGTCTCGTAGTCAATCAGAGATGTGGTCTTAACTATGCCGCTGAAGTGATCGATTTCGAAGGGTACCGTATTCAGATTGGCAATACTATACGATATGTAAGAATTCTCACCGGAATCCCTGTCTTTGGCTGTAAGTTTCACCACGAACGAGCCGGCCAAGTTGTTTTCGTTGATACTTATCATTTTGTTTACATTCTCGAAAATGGGATCATTGTCATTCATATCCTGCACGCTTATTTTCACCTTGGCCGAAGATTGTTTTCGGGATCCTACGTTTGCCTGATCAATGGCGGAAACTGTGAGGGTGTAACTAGATTTCTTTTCAGCATCGAGCTGCTTGGCTGTGTACAACATTCCGGAATCGGGATTAATGCGGAACTCGTCGCCCTCGTTGCCACCGACTATTTCCAAGTAGACCAGTGCATTTTTACCCAAATCTGGATCGCTCACTTTCAGCCTTATCACCGGCATGTTAATGGGAGCGGTCTCTGGAATGGAGACTTCGTAAATCTCCTGCGTGAATATGGGTACATTTTTGCTCTCCGGCTTTATTTGTATCGGAACGGATTTATAGGCGAATCTGCGGGGAGTTCCTAGGTCCTCTGCTCGTAGTGTTAAGTTGTAAATGAAATGTTGTTGATTTAGGTGAGCGAACTGATTCAATTCAATATAGTACTCGTCTTTGGTCTCTGCCGCCTTCAGAAGAAACGTGCCATCTGGATTGCCGTCGACTATTTCCAACCGTCCGATGTTACCATTGATACCAGTGTCCTTGTCGTTCACCCGCACAATTCCGTAGATCAAAGGATTTGAAGTTGGCGTCACGCTCGAAAAGGTTCTTGTGAAAATCTCCGGAGCGTAAAAGTTAACCTGTTTCACCGAAATGCTGACCTTGGCCTTGCTCGCCTGGTGGTTCTGGTGGTTCACCCAGGATCCCCGATCGTAGGCCAATACCGTGAGCTCAAAGTGCGAGTTCTCCGCATATTGAAGCTGCTGCAGCAGGGTTATTTCACCTGTGGTTGGGTGGATGGCAAAGTACTCGCTGTCCATCAGAAGACTGTAGTATATTTCCCCATTGATGCCAAGATCAGCATCGTCTGCTGTCACCTTTAGAATACTTTGATATTTTGGAGTGTCCTCCGGAATAACTACGGTGTACTGGGTCGGGTAAAATAGCGGACTCAAGTCGTTGCGATCCAGTACTTTAATGTGAATATTCGCCTCCGTTTCATAGCTTGATATATTTCTGTCGTGCAAATGTACATGTGCTTTTACTCTTATTACGTATTCCTCAGTTTTCTCTCTGTTTAGCACAACGTTATTCGTTCGAGTTCGAATGGCTAAGAAGGCAAAGTCTCCGACCAGTTTCTCCTCAGCTTTAAAGAGCTTCTCCTTATCGCCACTTATTATCCTATACTTAACTTCTGAGTTCAAGCCAACTCTCATGCCGGCCAGTCTTTCATGCAATACTCCCTTAGCGTAAGTCTTCCCCAGACTGTTTTCTGGTATGGTAACATTATATACATTATGGCTAAACCGATATAGATTCTCCAATTGGTTCTCTAGTCTATATTCGAGGGACGCTGTGTGCTTTTCATCGGGCTTGCTTTGTACAGTTGGGATTAGACATAGACTACACAGTAGTGAAATCCATTGGAATATGTTGAAAGCTTTTCTTTTTACAGGAGTTACATATTTTTTAATCTTCATAGTAAACATATACTGCACTTATTTCACATAATATCCTGCAAGGTAAACAAAAAATAATTAAAAATATGTTAATCAAAGGAATACTAATAAGAAATTACCAAATAATATTGTTTTATGATACGATTCAATCTAATAAAAGTTACGCATCAGTGTTGTTAATAGTTAGACTAGGTCCACTTAAAGGAATACTAAAGCCAATCCCATCAATTTTGTAATAACAGACGGATACTTATAAATTAAATCGTCTGGTTATGCTGGTCAAGACTACATAAAATTAATTCCGCAAGATTATTGTTATAAATGATATGAAATTTTGCGATTAATAAATAATTCTTACTCTGATGCCTGCTCTACCTATGTAAATGATTGGTGAAATTGCAATCTCTAATGCTCCGTAATTTTTTCAATCCATCAACAACAGTCGTCTTTAATATAAATAGTCTGTCTTTTTAATTTCCCAAAGCCTGAAGACCTCCGTTTTTTTATAAGCTGACTATAGTTTGCATGACCCCGATTCATTTCCGCCCGAAATTATAATACTGTCTTTCAAGTTACACAAAACAATTTGTTTAATTAATTAATAATCTACAATTGTGATTTTGTTAAATTGAATTTAGTTTCTAATTTTGCTTATCGTGAAATTATTTCTTAGAGTTCATATTTAACTATTTAAATTCGATTCAGAATTTTAAAATAATTTATGTTTTATGTTAAGGGTTGTGAGTGCAATTTTTAACCCTAGTCCGCCTATTAAAGAGGAGTATCGAGTTTATTTTTGATAGTCGAAATAATTGGATATTAGCAACGGCTTAAAGATGTTTAAAAATAATACACAAATTCACAGTCTCACATATATCACATTTAAAAAGTGATTTCATTCAGCTAATTACTCTTTTTCTGTCACTTTTATTTACTTATTATTTTTATTACACTGTACCGGGATGTTTCTTTTAATATTCACAAGTTTCATATGTGGCAAACATAAATATTTTAAAACACGACATTTTTAAAATGCTATCGAGGTAAAACCCATTTTCATAGAGAAGTAAAAACAAATATTTTATTGAACTTTCAATTGGTAAAAAACGAACCGATTAAAAAAATAATTTGTAAACCTATTTTGAAAACCGTTGAAAATATTTTCTATCAGATATTTTCTTCTTTTCTTTTCCATCTACAAAACGGTTGCTTTTCAGAATATGTGTACCTCAACAGTTATTAAAAAAACAAATATTAAATTACCAACATTTACATTTATACCTAAACAGAAATAATATATGCCTAGTTTCGCAAGTCTGAATATTTTATTTACATTTATTATATTATTAATATATTTATTTTTAAAACTATAAAAAGCGTTTAGTCGCCAAAATGTTGAAAATCTAAGGTACGCTTTTGTAAATCGATTTGGCCTAGATTCTACATTTGGGGGCACGACCACCTTATCAATACTCTGCTCATTTTAGTAATTTTTATGAATATTGTGTGTAACACATACATATACATACATGTATATTTGTTCAATTTAGCATTCAACCTCTAATATTAATTACAGCATTTAAAAAATTTAAGTTTGACTTGTTTGATGCGCATTTATAATAATTGGTATTGCTATTTGAGGATAAATAGAAACTAGTGGATGTTAAAAGAGAATGAAAATGTCCACATAGAACTATTTTAAAAGGCTGAGAATTATGACTTGAAGAAATTTTTTTTTTATTATGTTGAGCACTAACAAAATCCAAGTCAAATCAATTAAGAGTAGTAAAGAGTGACTAAAATTTAAAATAAATAATAACTAAAAGGGATGTATGAAGTTGTAAAATCTTGTTATATTTAAATTTTTAGTCCCATTCTATTTTGCAAAATCAGCTCAGATTATACTACCCCGAACTTTAACTATACATAATGAAAATATTTATAAAAGTAACTAGATTTATTAGTATGTAAGACCTGCCTTATCAACTGTAACCTAAAGTATCATAATGGATAATTTTTTATGAAAGACTTTTTAAGAATAAATGCTCATAAGAAACGGGAACTTCTCCATAACTTGAAATTCAACAGTTTAAGCTCATAACAAAGCCTTTAACTTGACACCTTGGGCAGATAAGGAAAACTAACAAACCAAAAGTGTGAAAAGTAGGGCTTCGCTTTCCTTATATAAAATCTATAAAAGAAGTTGTTAGAATATTTTCCGTAACTCTCTTTTTCTTATTGTTGATTAAAACCGGGAATGGCAATTTTAAATTATTTTCATTGCAAAGATTCATTAAAAACAATTATTGTCACCATAATCACTTGATTGAAGAACCACTTGTTGGAAGAAGAAATTTCGAAACGATTCATGAAAATGTGAAGGTTGCGAAATTGGTGCGGCGCGTAGGTAATTATGAGTAATACGACCAAGTACATACGAAAAAGAAGTCGAAAACGGGTTAGCCAGCACAGGAAATGTGAATCAGTAGGTGATTTTTACTAAGAAGAAAACTCTCACAATATTCAAAAAACCCTTTTTAACTTGTCTGGTTTCTCACTCTGAAAATCAGTCCACAAAGTCACAATTACGACCACAAACTCCAGTTTTTTCATATGGGAGTGCAGCATTTACATAGATATGTAATGCCTTCGTACATACATATGTACAACGGTGTACACAGATAACATGTGTCTCTTTTTCCGTGGGCCTAATTTTCCGATAAGGTAAATAAACACACACACTCGCAATCGCCGTGATAAACTCCGTGTAGGCAGCACTTTGGCTTTCGGTTGAATAAAATACAGAAATGCACAATCCACAGTTGAATCTTTTCAAAAATGTTTGGCCAACATACAAACAAACGTAGGTGTGTGTGTGTATACCTTTATAATTTAAAGTCGAGACCACTGCGCAAACAACTTTGCTGGAACGACTAATACTCGACGATTTCGTTGGTTGTTCGTTAATTCGGGGGATCACTCTCATCGGGCTGACTTTTCATTCATCACCGAATTCTGGAGCACTAAACGCGGATTCACATTAATTAAATTTCCAGCTGCATGTATGCACCATTAACTACGATCGTCGATAACACTCCGCCCGCTATTCTCTCCCCAAAAATGCCAACATCGATTAGATCGGTTCGAGAGATCGAGTAACAATCGACTTATCGGCCGGGCAGATTATCGAATAGTAACCGCCAGAGTTCAAATGAAATCTATCAGATCGTTTGGTGTAAATTCAAAATATCACCTAGTTACTATCTTAGCCCTAACAATTGTGTCCTATTATCCAAAACCGAAAATATCTAAAAGAAACCACTTTCTTGTTTCAAAAGAGGAGGTCCATAAGCTAACCACTAAATAGTCAGCATAATTTCTTTCAAATTATACAAACAACATCAAATCTCTTTAAAACTGGAGAAACTAAATTTAACCCCTCCTTTTAAATTATTTGACTGTAAACAGTTGGTCGCATTTTATTTATTCCTTCCTATTGTTTTGATGAAAACGACCCCGATGAAAGTTACAGAAAGTAAAGTAATTTGGGTTAAATAAATAAATAAATAAAGGTTCTAAGATATAGTTTTCCTGCGCCATTTTCTTTCTTCAAACCGTTTTCGGATAAAGAAAAACTTAAAGCAATTAAGGAAAAATCAATATGGCTTGCTATTATTCTTCGTCATTATATTTATAATTCCTATTTACTTTAATAAATATTTTATTATTTTTTAGTTGAATTTATATTACTAGATTTTCATATGCAACTTGTAGTAAAACTTTCTTGGTCCGTAGGGCAAAATATTTGAAATATGAAACCAAAATACAGAAACTGGTTCCTAGAAATATCAAAATCTTTGTTGAGAAAACAGTGACCTCTGGCGAGAAATACATTTTGGGATACATTTAGTTATATCTTCATAGCTCATAACAATAAATAAAGTAAATTCCCAAGAAATTCTGAAACCCATCGCAGGACACCAAACTTGGAACCCTGCGTTCCCCATAATCCGCATTGCAATGGTTTCGCAATTTAAGAAATGTAACCCGTTTGGGGGAGTTTCCTTTTTGAAGGTGTATCTTGTAGCTTATTCCACTGATGTTTGTTGTTATATTCCGTTTCTGATTCACCACATGGGGTTATGCAACCTTTAATCACTTTTACACTTATTCATAAAACAATATGATTATGGTAAGCCGTCGAACGTATTTGTGATAAACAATACGTACGTACATATTTTTGCATTTTTCGGATAAAAATCACTAGCACTGTAAATGCGTATTGGCGTGGAAACACTTATTGAATCGCATATCGTCGTTTATGCTCGCAGTCACATTAAAAGCACAGCGCGACTTCTGATTGAAACATACTTTTCCTTCATTCAATTGCAAGCCACCGACGCACAGTATGCCGCGATTTAAACCAATATAAACCGCAGTCAATGAGAACAGAAATTCAACTGATTCGAATTTTCGTCATCGCCGTTCTCTTGGTCCTTTCATGTTGTGTTATATCCTGTTGCAACCTCGAACTGGAACCCCGAGCACAAACACAAACCATTCAACCCCGTCGAGGTATGAAACACCCCCCATTTCCCCTCAATATTACAGACACACCCTCATGTTATTTGATCCGTTTTACATATCTCGTAAATATACCGATTTTTTGCAGATAATGTCCCTGGCTAACAAAATTCCCAATGCAAGGGGTAATGTTGTGTAAAATATGTTACATTTTACTATTTTCCCAACTTCACAAGAAGTCCCATTATTGCGCCTTCATAATGTTATCCTTTATTATGGTTAAATACATTATTCAAATTTTACTTTCTAGTGTTTTGTGTGTTACTTTTAATATTTGCCAACAATTTATATGGTGTCTCCAAAGTAAATATATTTTTTTTCCGACCCGTATCAGTTAAATGTTTGTTAGCTAAATAGATTTTTATCAAAGACCGTAAAAAGTCCTTGGGAGATTTTTATATTAGGTTTCGTAGAGTCATGGGTGGCGCCATCCGGTGGGATTTTCCTACAAAAAATCCTCGACTTTCCACCGCTGGAAAATATTGGGAATTTATTTATTGTTACGATACGGATTTTGGTTGGAAAAGATTTCTGTGCCACCCGTGAATAAACAAATGTAAAAGGACCAATACTATCTTTATTAAATTGTTGTATTTTTCAGATTTTCTGACCTCGTCTTATGATAACGAATCTATGTCTTATTTTATGCCACTTAGGTATCATAAGTGTCGGTTTTGTACATAAGGTCAGAAAGTTCAAAAAGATTATAAATATGCAGGACCTTAACTTTGTTCCGAGTCGTCTAAGGGAAAGTTTTTCATGGCCCTATTCCTGGCTTCATATTTATTCTTATATATTTTATTCTTGATTTTAGAGAAAGAACTACGGATGTCCGTTTGAAATTCTATTTGCGAATAGTTGTCCCTTTTCACGGCTTGGTACAGGGCGTGTATCAAGTTGTTGTATTTCCTCAGGCCCTTTTTGTTTTGTTTTCCAGAAAAATTCATTTCGAAAAGTATTTTTTCATCGATTATTCTTTGTAGGTTCATTGCAACTCCGCCAGGGACTAGCAATCCCTTGAAAATGGGAATATAGAAATTCAAATTGTTTTGAACTTTCTCTTCCAAGCTTTCCAATTCTTCGAAGGATTCAACAGGCAAATGTGGATTGGCCGGCCAGCTGTCATTGTTATCAAGCAATTTAGAGACTCCCGCTAAAATCTTGGGATTCGTGTCTTTCACAATTTTCTCAACTCTCCGAATAGCGTCGCTCAGTCGCCTGATTTCGTCAGCCACACCTTTGGAAGTTTCGGGTAAATCGATGAATGGATCCATTTCGGGAATTTTCTGTGGCCGAATATTTTGGTCAATGAGTTCATCATGGAATTTGTTCAGCTGGATGGGCATTTCATTTTCAAAGTCTTCACTGCCCATCTCGGACTTGGAATCCATTTGCAAGCCGGGGCTCGGTAGTTCTACATTTTCAATGACGGGACCATCTGCAATGAAGGGCAATGATCAGTTTCTATTGCACGAAATATGGAATACTTCTTACCATTTCTCGAGAGACGGCTGACTTTTTGGGGGCGAAGTGAGCGACGCTCCCCATCGCCGAACGAACCTTTTCGCTTGCCGGGTGTACGTTCTATCGGGTTATCCTCCTGGTTACTATCCTGCTGGAGCCCCTTGATCTGCAGCGATTCGGCGGCTTTGAGGAGATCGGCCAGCTGGCTCTGGGGAATGTGCACCTCCCCGCGGTACATGTAGATCATCAGGGCGCGCAGCTCCTGGTACTTGATGTCCTTCAACATAAAGATGGGGTGCTTGTCGTACTGTTCCTGCAGCAGGGCCTGTGTGGCATGGTTTTTATCAAAAGCAATTCTCTTCGATCCGGAGGGTGGGTTGCACTCACCGCAAAGTAGGGACTAAAGGCCGACAGCACCAGTTTGTGGGCCTTGTGATACTTTCCCTCGGCGGCGACTGTGCAATCGGCCAACGATTCGTTCTCCAGCAGATTTTCAAACACCCCGGCCAATGTCGACTGGTGGTGGCTCCAACTCAGGCAGAGCTGATGCTGATGATCCATTTTGAGGTATTCTCTTGGGAGGTTCCGCCAAAACTTTGAAAACTGCTCCAAATACATGGGGATTCAGTTGTACAGTTTGCAAATACAAGATGGGAAATGATTACCTTTTCCTGTGGTGTTGTGAATTTGGCGAAAAATGCGAATAGTTTTATAAAAACTCTTTAGCAAGTACTGTAATTCGAAACCAAAAAAAAATTGCTCTTTTCCTCAGTGTGACCAGAAAAATATTGCAGAATATTACCAAACTCAACCGAGGCGCCAATTCTGAAAATTAACATTTAGGGTATTCCCGTGGTAGATATTGATGAACCAAAATATAAATTAAATATTGCGTTCTTTTATTATTATTCAAAGTTTGAATTTTAAACACAAAACAGAAACGTAGTCCAAGGGAAAACATTTTTTTACCTAATTATTTATAACGTTGTTTTAAATATATGTGAAGTTCACATTGTGAACCTGTACAAAGAAATCTTTTAATAACTTGAAAAATAAAGTTTGCATTCGAATTTCCTTGGTAGTTTTTTTTACGGCTTTGGCCTGATTAGCATTTTACACGATTTGAGAGAATGTTGTTGGCCCATATTCCAGAGGCCCCAAAAAATTAAGTCGCAGTTCGTACCAATATTTTTAAATTTGTAGTATGTTCCGTTTAAATTGCTGAAAGTAAATTTAAAAGTAATGATATGTTTAATAAGACAAAGACAAGACTCTAAAATAGTACTCTTACCATATATAATTGTCCCACCATTTATCACGGAAAGAACAATTAACACAGTCCGCTAAAGCATTCCCAGCATTTCCTGAATATTCGCCAACGGACTTCAACTTATAGTTTTCCGTTGCGCTTCCGACAACAAAGTGATCATATCTTGCAAAAGCTTTAGCGCCGTCAAAATCGACAAGTTCAATATACAATTCATATCTACGACTTGTTGTTACCCTATGCAATCTATGAAGGCCTATCCAGAATTCCGTGCCAAGATCACCAAATCCAACTTCATAACAAACTCGATATCGGTCAAAAGAGACACTTCCATCGACACGACGCTGAATGACCATCCAATCAGAACCGGCTGAAGGAATACTCTCAAAAGCAGCTGCGAACGTTTTTCCATTATCAACATTTACAAATTTAATTAAAGGGACTTTTGTGCAGTTGAGGTATACAGGTTCATTTGCTTCATCTGATGTAATTTTCTGCTCTTCCTTCTCCTTCAGATTGTCTGCATATTTCATGACCTTCTCATTCAATTCAAAAATTTTAGCGTCCTTTTCTTGTACTGTACATTCAAGCTTAGCAATTTTGGTATTCAATTCTTCAATCTCTTTCTTATGCTGATCCTTAAAGTCTATAGGGACTGATGTTTTTTCATCTTCAACTTTTATAGAATGACCCTTGCTCAATTCGAGTGCATTTTTCAATTCCAAAACTTGGGCTTGCAATTGCTTTGCGCTTAAGTCTTTGCTTTGATTAACTAAATCAATCGACATGTGCAAGGACTTTATTAACTCGTCCTTAAAAATTGACTTTTCCTTTTCACTTGCTAAATGAATTTCCGCAATGGTCAACTTGGCAACCAGATCATTTATCTTTGTGTTATTCTTTCTAATGGTCTTCCTTAGTCCTTGTACGATCCTTTTTTGTTCGCTTGCCACACAGCTGAAATCTTCAACATCCGAATCGCTGCTGGGCTGGAAAAAAGATCGTATTGTTTATACTCACTGCATAAAGATGACTATAATGAAACTTACCGAATTGTTTTCAGTGGTTGAGCCTTCCACAGATCCTCGAGGGTTCTGCGAGAGATTATTTAAGTTGTCGGGTTTCATGGCGACCAATTTACAAATGCGCAATTATCAGATAACTTTTAAGTGCGCCAAGTGCATTATTATTCATTAACGAGTGTGGCCAGCTTTCAGCCGCCTAATATATTTTTAAAGCCATTCACAAATAACACTGGCCTACAAAATAATTAGGTTTGACGTATTTTTTTTTTATATTTTATAGTTGAAAATTTTAATTTTAATTTAGCAATAGAAACCTATTTAGTAATCATTCAAAGGTGACAAAAATAAATTCTTTGAAGTAAAGAACGCATTTTATAAGCATTAATAGTTATTAATATTATAAGCCTCTATTGTCAATAAAAGTAGTACTACCTAGTCAAGGCTATTATACAAAACATTTCATTCTGCTTATGACTTTATTTTCCTTTATTTTTTTTGTTCTTACGGTTTTGGTCTGATTAGCATTTTACACGATTTCAGAGAATATCTTTTCCCCATATTCCAAAGGCCCCACCAAATTCCATCCCAGCTATCCAAAAGAACTTTAGATCCGCAGTATTTTCCATTCAAATTACTGAAAAATAAAGAAATATTAATATTATATTTTATATTAATATTTTTCGAGTTTATGACACTTTTGAGAGACCCTCTAATAAATTATACATACCAGTTTCTATGGCCCCACCATTTGTAATTGGGATTATAACCAAATACATTTTCCTGAGTATATGCTTCGTTTATATGACTCCTCAAGGCATCTCCAGCATTTCCCGAATATTCACCAAGATTAACCAATTTGTAATTCTCCCTGGGGCCTCCGACAACAAAGTGGTCATATCTTGCAAAAGCAGTTACATCATCAAAGTCAACAAGGTGAATATATAATTCAAGTCTACGATTTGTTGTCATCCTATGAATTTTTTCGAGGCCAAGCCAGAATTCTCCATCTAAATCTCCGCAACCTTTTTCTATTTTGTTACCTATTTCTGAATCGAAACTTCCATCGATACGGCGTTGGATGACCATCCAACCTGTGCCGGCTGAAGGAATATCCTCAAAAACTGCTCCAAAGGGTTCGAAATCGGGAAGAGTTACTAATTTCATGGAAGGAATTTTTGACGAGTTGAGAAATACATGTGGGGATTCACTTGTGTCCTCAGTATTCGAGGAAAACTGGGCCAATTGTTTTTCCATTTTCATTAGCTTATCATCCTTCTCCAGAACCTTATTTTCCAATTTCATAATTTTAAGTTTCGATTCGTCAATTTTAAATTCCAGCCTGGCGATTTGCTCTTCTTTCTCTCTTAGGTTGCTTTCATATTTCTGAGTCGTGTCAACTGCATTGTTCTTCTTTTTCAATTTAGCAATTTCTGCATTTAACTCGTCAATTTTCTTTCTGTGTTGTTCATTTGAGTCCTCTGAACCAGAGGTTTCCCCAATAAAACAATTACTCCGGCTCAAATGTAGAGCACTTTGAAGATCGTCGATTTGAGTTTGCATTTTCTGTATGCTGAACTCTTTTGTTTGGTTAACTAAATCGATCGTCGTTTGTAAGGTCTTAATAAAATTGTCCTTATCCTTTATGCTGTTTTCAAGTAAATTGACCTTTTCCTTTTGGGCTTTAAAATTGATTTCAACTTCTGCCAACTTGCGCTCCAGATCAGAGATTTTTTGATTATGTTTTTCTCTAGTTTTCCGAAGTCCCTGGGCGCTTGTCCCAACAAATTCCATTTCGGAATCACTGCTGTGCTGAAATATAAACTCTTTTTACAATTGAATCGAATTAAGCACGATTGAGCTCACCGAATTGTTCTCAGTGCTGGAGTTTTGGGAAGATCGCTCTTTTGACAAGTTGTTCATGTTATCCGGTTTCATAGTTCCTCAATTTCTTAGCATTGGGAGCCCCCAAATAATATTAGTATTGCTCAAATTTAATATAACGTAATTGGTGAACAGCGATTGATTAACAATACAAAAACCATAAATATTAGCAATGAAAATACATATAAATCTTTATCTTCTGATGTGACCAGTTCTACACTATATCTTTAAGTATTTTTCTGACTGATATGGTACAACTAATAATAAGGGTATTCCATAAAACTTCATTTAGAAAATGTTGATTGGAAAAAACTTTTTGAAAATCATTCCTAAAAAAAAGTTTTCAAACCTCTCCTCATGATAGAGGTAAAAAATAAAATCGTATGTATTAGAAGATTATGAAATATTATCTAAGGACGTAAATGGTAGATGGTTCCGATTCCCAAGATGTAAAACACTTTAATATTTCCAACATTTTCATAATCTTTTATTGTTCTTATACTTTCACATACATTAACATGCCCGTTATATGAAAATGCTTGATAAAATATAGCTTCGTAGAGTTGATCTTTAATATTCGTTTAACGTCACTACCACACAAAACAAAAATCAGAGCACAATCGTTAAGTGTTAACAGTTTACGCATATTTATTTTTATGTATTGGGAACATCCAGAGAAATCAATATATAAAAAAAATATGATGTTTATATGTGAAGCCCTTAATTTCTACTGTTGAAATTTATATTTCAATTTCTGTAGCCATCTCCAAATATTATTCAAGGTCATCGATACTTGCGTTTCCAGATGAACACTCGATAATTTTGGCGCCGTCAAGCTGTTGCCCCGAACTTTGTCCCAGAGTGATTCCCCCTTCGTTGCCCTCGGCCGCCCGGTTCCCGAACTCCTGCATTTTGACGATCAGCATCGCGAATACTTGGGCTGGAAGGGAGGACTGCAGCACCTGCAGCAGACGAGCCGGCTGGCCACACACCACGATGGCATTCGCCAAGTGCTCCACGCCAGTCTCGAAGTCTCCGCGGGCGATCAGGGTCTCGCCCAGCTGGATTTCTTGTAGGAAATATCTGAAAAGATTGAGCATATTCATCAGAGGGAGTCGACATTCATGGACATGATAAGATGATGAAACTTATATGTTTTCAAGTCATTTAAATTTGTAATAATATTTGACGTATTATTAATCTTTGATTAGATATTAAGCTACTACTAATATATAAAATATTGACAAGAAAAAAAAGATAACTCAACTAAGGTTAGTTCCCTTGAAAGGAAGTCACAGATATCGTAGGAACATAAGAACCAAAACGGATTTGGTTGGAAAACATAAAACAAAAATAGTAAATAATACCATTTTAAGCTAACTAAGTATCTACTCATTATAAACAATAAGTAATCATTTGAAGAAGACTCTAATTTTGAAGAAATACTATTTACATACACTGGAATTATTCATTTACATTTCTTTTTATAATTTTCTGTTTGTTTAATATTTATGAATGAGTTATGAGTCATAAAAGAAAAACCTTGGACAAAGAAAACTGTGTGTTTACTTGTTGGAGATATGTGATACCCATTTGTTTTTGCAGATGGACAAAAAGGTTTGTAGTTTCAAGATTAGTTATAATTTAAAAATCAGACTTTTTCGTTAGAACTGACAATATTTAAAATTCAAGACTGTTTACCTAAAACCTCGCGTTTTCTTAGTCCTAAACTATTGGCACCTATGTCTATTAATGTTGATAAAATTCCCTTCTACTGAAATGGTTTTTTCTCCTAACGAAATGATTTTTCTTAATGATGACTATTAGTTTAGTTAGCCCAACCAAATGTATGTATGTACACATGGATGTACAATGCACATACATATACAAACATCCATTTCGTTGGGAAAACATGGACTTGCGTGTATGAATGGAGCTGTAGTGAATCGGCACAATCACACGTGCCGCATTATATAATGCGTATCCCATCGGAGTATCCTACCTTTCAATGGCTTCATGGTCGTTCAGGTTTGGAATTCCTGGCTTGGCAGTGCCGCTTTTCCTGTTGCGACGGCGACCTAAAACGTGATGAAACGTTCACTTTCTTTCATAATTAACTCGGGCCCCAACAATTCTTACGCTCGCGGACTTTCTTCTTGTACTCGGGATCATTGCGGCGCTTCTTGTCGAAGTAGATGCAGTATCCAATGAACAGAGTGCCAGCCACTCCCGCTGCAATGCCGATTGCAGTTTTGTTCATTTCAAGCATGTTATTACGAAAATTCTCAGCTTCAACAGGGTTTTATTTTACATTCCGCATGTGCCATTTACATAAAACAAAATCAATATCGGAATTCTGAACGTTCCATGCTCTGCGATAGTTATTGGGAAAATTGAAACATTGGAATTGGAACACAATTTTATTCTTTATTAAAATAACTTAAATATTTTTTAACTTTTAAAATACATTTTTTAAAGAGGCGTTCGTTTATTAAAGAACGTAATTATTGTTGTGAAATATTTATTTTTTCTGAAACAGATAGCAAAATTTGTTCTAAAAAAAATTAAATACCAACCGGCAAATCTCATGGTCCGTCAATCTATAAAAATTTAAATAATCCGATAAAAAAAGGCCAAAATGTAAAATTAATTCATTTTGCTTTTAAATAAATAATGCGTACTGGTGATATTAAAATGTTACAGAGTTGCCATGACTTTTAATAAAAAAGATGACAACTCTCGTTTTCAACGATTCAACAAAATTTACAACAGCCTTGAGGCTGTTGAATTACTGAAGTTTCTGAAACTTGATTTTGTATGGAACAGCTGATGAACAGCTGACCAAAATTCAACAATTCAGCAATTCGACGGTTTAGGGAATCCCCTGATTGTAAAGAAATTTAATTTGGTATTTTGTATTTAGATTATTACAACAATTTTAAAACTAAATGTTTAATAACCTTTTCCTCAACCAATGTGAGTTTAAAGTTTACTTAAAGGTTTTATAAAAATGCATAATTTTGTTGTAAGACCACACATTGTGGTTCTTTAATTCATTAAATTACTTACACATTTTAAATATATTTCATCATATCTTGGTAAATGTTTTTTATACTGCCACTCGAACCGTTACTTTTTTGTACTTTTAAAATTACCATTAATTTGACTTTGAATGTTGGAAAAGTAGACTTGCTGTTATCAATTGAAAGTAATACAATATTCAAAACTATCTACACCGTTTTAAGGCCATATTGTTTAATCCTTTGCTTTCAGTTTAAAAATTTTAATATGCGTAGTTTTGTGCATTACTTTCACCCAAGAATATGTAATTGACGCAGAACCATGATGAATTCCAAAAGCTAAATTGATAAGTTCCAAACTGAGAGTGTGTGGTTGTGCCCGAGCGCATGGATATGTGTATATACCCGCATACATAAGAGCCTATATGTTTGTATTCTGTAAATATACATTTCTCTTTAATAAATTAGTATTAGTGGCTCGTTGCTAGGTTTCCTATTGAACAATTCCTTCACTTAACCCCGGAGCACTCGATCGACAGTACCAGTAACCATGCGGAGCTTGTGGCTAAATACGTTGACCAAGCAGAGTAAGCAAAAAGAAAATTAAAACTTTTACTTCAACTGATAGGGTATCGGTATCGTCTTAGGTCTATATCGGCTGAGTACCAAGAGGTACTCCACCAAAAATGAGCCCAAGGAGCCCTTGGTAAAAACTAAATCGATACCTGGCCCCAAATCACTTGAGCTTAAAAAGCAGCTGGATTCTGTCCAGGTGAGTTTTATTTTTCGTTATCAAGAGCACAGGCATTAATGACTTTACAAGCACATAAATATTTTTTTAAACTGATTTCAACATCAGGCCATACGCCCACTTAAAGATAATTTTTTAGACAACCCAAAGTGTCTTATTCTTCTATACGAAATTTTTTATTAAAACGAATTGCGCTTTTATAGGCCACCGGATCCATCCAATTTTTTGCTGATTACGAAAATTCAATTGGAAATTATATCTCCGACGTTGATGGAAATGTTTTACTAGACGTCTACACTCAAATTTCCTCAGTTCCCTTGGGTTACAATCATCCAAGACTTTTCAATGTCTTTAAGAATGAGCAAAACGTGAAAAGTAAGTAGTAATCCATATCTGCTAGAGTTCTGTGAGTACATAATATAATTTTATCTTAACTTTTTAGCTTTGATTAATAGACCAGCACTTGGTGTCTTCCCTGGCAAAGAATGGCCGGAAAAACTAAATTCAGTTCTGTTGAACATTGCACCCAAAGGACTTAACAAAATCACAACGATGATGTGTGGTTCGTGTTCAAATGAAAATGCTTATAAGAGCATCTTTATCTGGTAAGATTGAAAAATAAATTCAAATATTTCCTATTTCAATTTGTAGACTATTTATAACATTTAATAACGGAAATTGTATTTTTGTTTTACTTTCTCTGTAGGTACCAAAGCAAACTTCGCGGTAATACACCCCTTACCGAGCAGGAGAAATGCTCTTGCATGGTTAACACTCCGCCAGGAGCTCCAAAACTCAGTATTCTGTCATTCAAGGGAGCTTTCCACGGCCGTACTTTGGGCGCCCTTGCTACGACACATTCGAAATATATTCACAAGCTCGATGTTCCCTCCTTCGATTGGCCCATTGCCTCGTTTCCCGATTACAAATATCCTTTGGACGAAAATGTAGCGCACAACAAGAAGGAGGACGAGAAGTGCCTTAGCGAAGTGCAGGATCTTATTCAGCAATACGCCAGCAAGAATCCCGTCGCCGGAATTGTGGTGGAGCCCATCCAGAGCGAGGGAGGCGACAACGAAGCCTCGCCCGAATTCTTCAGGAGTCTGCAGGCCATTTGCAAGAAGAACGGCATCGCGCTCTTGATCGATGAAGTCCAAACCGGCGGAGGCAGCACCGGAAAATTCTGGGCCCATGAGCACTTCGACTTGGAGAGTCCACCAGATGTTGTGACCTTCAGCAAGAAGCTGCAGTTGGGTGGCTACTTCCACAACGAAGACTTCATTCCAAAGGAACCGTACAGAATCTTCAACACCTGGATGGGTGATCCGGGAAAAATCCTTCTCTTGGAGGAAGTTGTCAAAGTGATCCAGGAAGAGAAGCTCTTGGCCAATGTCGCTGTGGCCGGAAAGGTTCTGAAGGATGGATTGCTCTGCCTGGAGAAGGAATTTCCGCATATCTTAAACTCCACTCGCGGTCGTGGAACATTTTTGGCCGTCAATTGCACCAACACCAAAGTGCGAGATCAAATAATTGGGGCGTTGAAGTTGCAAGGCATTCAAACCGGAGGCTGCGGGGAAATTTCCATTAGATTCCGCCCAGCTTTGATATTTAAGGACTATCATGCTAACATCGTCCTAGACCGCTTCCGCAAAGTGCTTCAAGCTATTTAAGAAAATGATAACGAAAACCAAGAATGATAGTGCTCTGAAAATTGCTAGTGCATGCAATATATCTATGTTACCAAAATAAATAATAAAATGAATTTATTTTATCCCTCTGTTAATAAAGGTGGTTTTTAATTGACTGGGTTGGATCACAAAAATATATAATTCTATAGCAATATGTAAAAACATTGATATGATATGTGGCGCCACTATTTGATTAATAATAAATAAAACAAAGTCTCCCTGCAATAAACATCAGATAAAATACAGTTATTAGTTTATTCAAAAGGCAGATCAGCAAAAGCAGATAGTGTAATCTTATCTCGGTGAGCTCCCCAAATCGCCTAAAGCCGAGCCTCCCCACAATAAATGTGAGATAAAGCCACTAAAATAGATTTATTAGCTTATTAAAAGGCCAGTTCCCCAATTGCCGATAGGGTAATCTAATCTAGGAGAGTTTTCCTTTTAACAAACCGAAAATGCGACATCTAGAAAGAAAGTTGTTCACTACTGAGTCAAAATCTGCCAAGTGGGCCACCCCTGTTCCGAAGGTCCGATTTTCATCGAACTTTTTTACTTTTCCGGTTCACAACGAAAATATAAGAACTTCATTTGAACGGTTTTGCGAAATTTTGAGTTTTACCGGAGTTATAGGGGTCAAAACATGGCATTTTTGACACTTTTTCGAAAAAGTTGCACTCAGTCATTAATTCATAACTTCGGAACGGTAAGAGATATCTTTATGATGTTTTCACTAATCGCTCAAGAATTATTATAGCTTTCCATAAAAAAATGTAAAAAAAAATTAAAATTTAGTTTTCTTAAAAATAAATCAACATTTTTTTTAGTTTTTATTTTTTCAGTGTTCTTCACCAGCTATAGAGTTTAAAACCATTTGAAAATGAAGTTTGATTCATTACGAAAAAGATCCAAAAAAAAAAAGTGGCCCGGCCAAAGGTTTTTCGCAATATCGATTTGAAGAAGGGCGCACAGCGGTTTTCCATACAAAAACGGCTTGCTCATGAAAATTGGCTGGTCAACACATGCCGTTGCGCGCGTAGCGTCAGCCGACTGCAGCTGTCAATGAGGCACTTCTTGTCGTTTTGTATGGGAATCCGCTGTGCGCCCTTCTTGAAATCGATATTGCGAAAAACCTTTGGCCGGGCCACTCTTTTTTTTTTTTGGATCTTTTTCGTAATGAATCAAACTTCATTTTCAAATGGTTTTAAACTCTATAGCTGGTGAAGAACACTGAAAAAAATAAAAACTAAAAAAATGTTGATTTATTTTTAAGAAAACTAAATTTTAATTTTTTTACATTTTTTATGGAAAGCTATAATAATTCTTGAGCGATTAGTGAAAACATCATAAAGATATCTCTTACCGTTCCGAAGTTATGAATTAATGAGTGAGTGCAACTTTTTCGAAAAAGTGTCAAAAATGCCATGTTTTGACCTCTATAACTCCGGTAAAACTCAAAATTTCGCAAAACCGTTCAAATGAAGTTCTTATATTTTCGTTGTGAACCGGAAAAGTAAAAAAGTTCGATGAAAATCGGACCTTCGGAACAGGGGTGGCCCACTTGGCAGATTTTGACTCTACTTTTTTTGGTTTTTTCGTATTACTTACCTTTTTACATTTCACAAATGATTTTACATAAAAGCTTCCTTTATGATCATTTTATTATGAAAAATTTAAAACCTCAACATGGGTGTTTTGGAACGGTCATAATAGATATTATTTAATATTATAATTTAATATTATAAGAATTGTTTATTATTAGAAAGAAATATACATAATGGCCATACTGAAACAAAACAATTTAATTCGCAATTACTCTATACACGTTTAAATGATTATTGCTTGCTTTTCAATAGTAATTAAGTTAATGAGACTGTGGATCACACTGTAATAATCGTACTATTGATGGATCACTTTTGGCTCCTTCTATGAACTCTTCCAAGCTTAACTTTCCATCTTTGTTTCGATCCATTTGCCGAAAGATCTTATCGGTTCGTTTTTCCGGAGTACTTTCGTCCTCTGGCATTTTCATCACCGATCCGACCATTTTATATATTGCCTAAATAAAGGAAAATAAACGTTTGCCAACATTATTAATTTTAATGACTGTAAGCAAAACCATTCATTATTAACTTGATTTTTATGGACTTACTGTAACAATTTCTAGCATTTCCTGCCGCGATATGTATCCGTTTCCATCTAGATCATACATTGAGAATGCCCATTTAAGTTTTTGCTCGAGTTTACCTCGAGATGTGACACTTAGTGCACATAAAAACTCTCTAAAGTCTATAGTGCCATCGCCGTTTGCGTCAAATGTTCGAAAAACGTGTTCTGCAAACTGAAAGAGGCATGGATAACAAAATATTAATGCAAGTAGGTAATAAAACTATCAGTAAGAAAATACAAATTTATTGATGTTAATAACAACTTTCAAAACAAGGACATCACATCTAGTTTTACCTTGCTGGCATCACCATATGGGAAGAAGTTCCCATAAATCTTCTTAAACTCCTCTACTGATAAATGCCCACTAGGGCAATCCTTAAGAAAGCCTTTATACCATTCTTGGATCTCAGCATCTACACAAAAAAACATATTTTGTAATAATTTGAATAATGCTTTACCTTTAAGATAATTTTAAATATCTACTTACCTGTGAACTCTGTGTTTTGTTTGAGATCCTCCAAAACTTCAGGTTTTAGTTTACTATTTTGCTTTCCCATTGTTGCAGAACAATTTCATTATACAGTTATCTTAAAATGCAATATAATATTTATCATTAACAACTGTATATTGGACAAACAAGGAATAGTTTCATCGGGTACCGAAGTTTAAATACCCTTGCAGACCGATTGATTACGGATAACCCAATTAAGCAGTTTGCCAATAGAGATTATTTTTCGAAATTACTGTAGTGTAAACCTTTATAAATAAGATATTTCGGAAGTCTATTGAAATGTTTATCCTAGACCCATGTAATAAATGTAAAGACCAAAAACACATTTTTAAGAACAAGTTTTAGTGGCAAATATACATAAATGCTTCTATTTAATTAAATAATTAAATATAACAGCAGTTGAAAAATATCGAAAATAACTTAATAAAGTTTCAATTACGTTATATCAAAATAAAGCGTGTCCTAAATCAAAAAAGTTTAAGCATTGAAATAAAGTTATCTATATCTAACAGATTAAAATAAGGCGCTGATAGCAAAATTACCTGAAATTACGTAAAAATATTGAAGTGGGCATTAAAGAAAAACGCACATTCATATTTATTTTAAATCTTTCTTACAATCCACTACTTAATATAGGAAAAGTGTTCCAAAAGGTTGTCATGTTTTCTCGTTGTTTCGAATGGTTAGAAGAGTATCCCATCGTTGGTGTGCCGCTATATATATACCCAGCTTTTGACCAAGCTGAGAGATATAACTACTAGAATGTCTGATTTATGTGAAATAAAAAAAATACAAATTATAAACGATACCATGACGTTGACATGATTTTTAATCTGATGATTCATTTTTTATGTATTAATTTGAATGATACACTGAAAATAGTATAATGATTTCATAGTTTTATAGTAGTTTAATTTTAGTATAAGAAATATAAATTAAATATTTATACATTTCATTACTGATTTCATCAAATACACACATATTGTAGGATATAATTGTTTATGGTGCCAACATTTTTGACAGCTCCTCATCTTGCAAGCATCCTTTCAAGAACTCATCTTGGGTTAATTGACCATCGTTATTTTCGTCCATTTTAGCAAAAATATTTTTTGCTCTTTCTTCTGCTGAATCAGCTGGACGATTAGATGAGCACGCTCCTAGCATGTCATAAATTGCCTGAGAATAAAAATATTACATTAATAGCAAAATCTTAGAAAAGCGTTCCAATAAATAGTAGTACTAAAATAGTTGGTGTATATTTTTTCTGTTACTAAAAATTCTTATAAGGTAAATTAGTTTAGTACCTGAACAATTTTGGTCATTTCTTGTATGTCTATAACACCGTTGCCGTCGACGTCGTACATTCGAAAAGCCCACTTTAACTTTTCTTCCGGTGTTCCGCTTGAAGTTACATCTATTGCGAGTAAAAATTCCTAAAAAACAAAATAATTTTTTTAAGAATTAAAACCAAAATACTACACTATAAACTAGTAAATGGCGCTTTGAAGAAATCGTTGACAAAATAAAGATGCATCAATTATTTTGGTTGATTTAATATTTAAAGTACCATGCGCGAGAGGGGCCCACAAAGTGACATAGCTATACAATAATAACACAATATGCATTCTCATCACATATACAATATACATACGATCATCCCGATTCACAAATGAGGGACATCCAAATATGTACAATCGATTTAAAAAATGCATTAAAACCACTCAAGTCAATAATCAAGTGAATGGACTCGTTCAGATCAAAGAAAAAAATAACCAATATTCTTAAATCCTGTTCAGAAATTTGTATAATATTTACCTCTGATAGGAAATATATTGTCCATAAATAAGTGATAATTGTCAACTTTTAAAACCAAACATTTGCTGTATTGAAACCAACATAATATCAAAGGAAAACTTCCATAGTAATTTCTGTACCGACAGCAACGAAAGAGTAATTGAGGCAAAATTACCTTAAAGTCAATATATCCATTTTTGTCCATATCGAATGTACGAAAAACATGGTCGCAAAACTCTTCCGCATTTCCGGATGGAAAAAACATTTTATACATATCGACAAATTTTGCTGGCGTCAATCGGCCGTTGGGGCAATCTTGCTATATTAAATAAGACGAATGTACATAATTTGAGACTTTTTTCTTTGGTGGGGTAATTGTTGTACTCACCTTAAATCCTTTGTACCACTCTTTAATTGTGGCTTCGTCATATCTCGTATGCGTTTTTAAAAACTCCATGTCTTCTTTGGTTAAGCGGTCTTTACTACTTAAGCACCCCATGTTTTCACTGCTTATAACTTTTTAGGAGCTAATTTGTTTCTATTTAGTTTTTTCTTTGTTTAAATTGCTTTGCCTGGTCTGTACATTTGACTTAATGTTTATTTCTGGACAGAAAAACTCCAAAT